AAGGAAAATTCAAGGAAAATTCAAGGAAAATTCAAGGAAAATTCAAGGAAAATTTAAGGAAAATTCAAGGGAAATTTAAGGAAAATTTAAGGAAAAAGAACAGTCCCACTGATCCCTGTGTGCCTTGGCTGCAGCCAGGGTGAACCCAACGCTCCAAAAATCAGGAATTAGAGCCAATCTGATCCAGCTCAAGGAGCTCCAGGTCGGCTCCAGGCAAACACAGATCCATCAATTGTCCCTAAATACGCAGGAGAAGCCACTGACAGGGCTGGTGACCCACGGGCCCCCTGGAAAGTTTAAATCATCGCCCCCATTATTGAGGAAATGAAGATCAAAGTCTCCATCAGAGCCTCTCCCAGCTCGTTAACAGACACAACAAGGGACGGTCACGGGCCTGGAAAATTTACAGCCCCGGCCATGTGTCCACACCTGGAGCCTGACTGAGTTTCAAGTTCAGGTTAAACATGAGCAGTGAGGCTGGAGGTCACCCAAGAGCCTCTGCTCCCAAGCCAACGCTCCATGGGAATGCTCTGCCCTTCCCAAACTTTATAAAGCTTCTCTGGAGGCAGAAAAAAACTTCCCCGGGCTCGTCCGGGACGATAAATTTCTGCCAGAACCACACACGTCGTGTTCTTTGCTCTGCAGGGTGAGGAGAAATGAGCTTCTGCTGCTCAGCTCCTCCTGCAGCCTCTACCCCAGCCCTGCCCCTTTCCAGCCTTCAAATTCATTGAAATTTCAATTTAAAAACACGGCACATCCAACCTCTCAGGCTCATCCCCCTCCTTCCCCCCATCGGACTCACCTCGGGCTGCAAAAGTCAAGTGGTACCTGAAAGACCAAAGAGAAAAAAGAGTGGTGAGACACGTGATTCTCTCAGAGATCTGTTTCAGCCTCCTGAACAAGGGGCAGAGGGGAGAATCCTGCCAGGAACCCACAGAATGGGGTTCCACAGACACACATTCCAGGCAGGAAGCTCCAAGAGGAATTGGGATGTTCCATATCCCTGTCCAAGGTCGGCTCAGAGCACCCTGGGCTGGTTGAAGGTGTCCCTGGGGGTGGAACTGGGTGAGCTCTGAGGTCCCTCCCATCCCATTCCATGATTTTATGAACTCCCATCCCCTGGAACGGGTCTCCCTTCTCCAAACACGAAGGTTTAGGTGACCTTTTGCTGCCCAGCCTCAATTCAGGGCTTCCAAAGGTCCCTTCCCACCCAAACTATTCCCTGTCCTCGTCTCACCCCTCCCCTGCAGCAGCAGCACCACAGAGGGGGCAACACACAAAAAAACCCCTCATTTCTTCCCCTCTCTCACACTTGGGGCTCATCTTGGGTTGAAATCAGAGTCATTTTAACAAAGGAACGAGCACTGGGGAGTTTTGGAAGCGGATCAAGGGCTGGGGATAAACCACAAAGTGACCCATTCACAGGCAAGATGTGTAACAAAGGGCTGGTCTATAGGAGTCGGTGGCAAGGATCCAGTGTGTAAAAATCCAATCAATTTGTTTCCCTCATTAAAAAGCTTTCATGAAGAAAATGATTTAACACAAACATCCAAGCTACTGACGCAGATTAATTAGAAAACAACGGCGGAATTCTGATTAAGGGGCATAATATTTATTTGACTTGTTTGCTTTGGACGAAAGAGAGAAATTAAAGGACGTGCAGAGACAGGAGAAACTTTGCTGGGTGATAAATAACAGCTGGGGGAGGGAGGGAAGAGCCACATCACTGGGCTTTGGGCTGCACGTTTCTCTGGGCCTTTGGATGCTCCTGGCAGTGCTTCCCAAATTTTACAAGGAGCTCTTTCCTCTCCTATCCTACACCTTCTCTCTCCCCCAAGCCCAGAGAGGCAACACAACCCAGTGGTGACACAACAGCAGCTCCATCTTTTGCTTTCCCATCACCTTTACCTGTTACTCGACCTTTGCTTTGAGATTTCAATCATTTATCCAACATCTGAGCTGAGAAACCTCCACTTTGGGCTCTGCCAGAGCTCCCCCAAACCCCCCAACCCCGAGAGCAGAAATACTTTTGTCTCCTGAACAGACAAGGAGAAAAAAAAAAAAAATCACTTCTTGTTCCAGGTGAACTTTTGTCTCTTGTGCTTGAGAGACTGTCCTAATCTCCCCTGCACATGTTCCAGTGATAACATTTACTGCACCGGGACCAAAATGATTTTCTGTCACTTGTAATTCCGGTTCAATAAAAGTATAAGAGCTTTGTTTCTAACCTCTGTCATTTTTAATACAGTAAAATGGCTTAAAAAAAAAAAAAATGTAAAATTGAGTTCCATTTCCTACCGGAGCAGCAAAGCCCATGTTAAGCTTCACTCTGATCAAATTTAAGGCAGGGGGGAAATACCAAAAACATGTTTTGGCTTTGGCCTTTTATTTTTTTCTTTTAGCATAAGGAAACAGTCAAAAATTCTGATCTCATCAGATCAGGATATGTCTTTAATCTCCAGCTTTGATCATTTGCACCCTGGAAAGGCTTAAGCAGAGAATGAAAGTTTAGTTTAAAATTTAATCGGGAGTGGGAGGAAAATGGTCTTGTTCTTACAGAAGATGGAAGAGTAATGACCCAATTCCTTCCTCTGCCACTGGCTGCATGGAAACCTTGAATAAATTACTGACCTCAGGAGTGCAGAAGGGACTGAAAATACCGTGGCATCACATCCAAGTATTTTCACTTCACAGAATTTTTCTTTCCGCTGGTGTTTTGTCCAAGAGAGGGTGGGGAAAGCACCGTTTGTGTTTCCCCCACCCCTTCCTGCAGCCTCAGCTAATCACCAAGTTCTCTTCTCACCATTTTCACAGGTGGCTAAAATATTCTTTTCTCTTTTTTTCTGCAAGAAACGCAACCATTTGGGCAAAACACCCATTTTTGCTTCAACAACTTCAGGGGTTAATCCAAAAACAGCCGCAGCCCTGGGTCCTGCGCATGATAAAATCAGAATAAAACGTGTTTTTGCGCAGCAGAGGAGGAGGAACTCGCTCAGCAGCAGCAGGTTCTCACCTCGGGCCATTCTCCAAAGTGCGGAGCTTGAGGCCAATTAACGCTTTTGTTCCCAATTAACGCAGCGCTGAGGAGTTACTCAACACACCCATCTGTGTGTAACAACTTACACAACATTTCCTCCTCCAGCTCTGCAGGTTTGCCCCGAAAGCTGCAGCCCGGTAACATCTCCCAGCAAATAATTAAAAATATCCTGTATTTTTAATTATTAAAAATATCCACACACGTCCCCCCTGAGCCAGCTGAACTCAGAAACCCAAGGCCTGCTCCTTCTTTAGTTTGGAAGCTGCTTTGGGACCAGTTTGAGATTTTCATCCCTAATAAACAGGTTTTTAGATCTCACAAGCACCAGTAAAAGCTCCTCACTGGTTTTGTTAAGGAGAATGTTTGGGAACAGGGGATGGATTTGGTCATGGCTTGACTGTTTCTTTTAAGCACGTGATTAAAAAGGCTCCTGTGCCCTAGAAATGATCCCCCAGGAAGAAAATCCTGGATGGGGTTTGGAGTAACCTGGGAGAGTGGAAGGTGTCCCATGGGATGGAACTGGATGATCTTTGAGGTCCCTTCCAACCCAAACCATCCCAGGATTCCATGGAATCAAAGCAAACAGGAAGGTCCAATTCACACACCAGACCCTAAAAAAGCAGAGGGGAAATGGGGGAAAATCTCCTGTCAAATGATGAACAACCTCCAGCAGAACGAGCCTGCAGTGGAATCCTAGGAGATTTTTGGTGCAGGGAGAAACTCGCCCAAAAAATATCTGATTTCCACTACAAAGCCAAAGGATTTGTGTTGTGCTGCCAGGAGTGTAACAGGAGACATCCCACAAGCATTTCCCCCTCAATGGGGGAATTTTCCCAACCAACCCCCACCTCTCCCACCTCAGCCAGGTTTCAGAAGCCCCGGATTTGTTCTGCCCCAAAAACACCGATTGTGGAGCCCGTGGGGATCCACCCCCAGCAGGCAAACAGAGGGACCCTCCCCTGGGAATGTTGGTGCTCTTTGCTCCTGAAAAACACCCAGGCTCCAGTTCTAACCCAGCCCCAACAAAAACTGTGCCAGCAGAGCTCCGAGGGGCAGCTCCCAGGAGCAGGAGGAAAAGCTGCTGAGGAGGGAGCTGGAGGCCCAGAGCAGGCAGGGCTGCCAAAAAACCTCCTTCCCAACAGGAACCCTCCGCCCTCCAGCCTGGAAACACGACTAATGAGGGGCTGGAAGGAGCAGAGCCTTCTGCTGCCTCCCAGGAGGGAAAAGCTGCTTCCAGGACCTGGCTCACAAACCTCATCCTTGAGCTGGTTTGGAACAGGAGCAACACCAAGATTGGCACCTGGGAGGTTGGAAAATCGAGTTCTCCAAGTCCTCCCCCCTCCTTCCAGGTCTGCTGGGTGATGGATTCACCTCCAGGAGCTGGCTTTGCATCCCAGGGATGCTTCCAGGGCTGGCCAAGCAGAAAAAGTCACTTTAACGCTCCTGTCACGTCACCAGCAGGGTTTAAACCAAGGAAACAGTGAAATATCCCTTCCTGCTCCAAAAGGAAGGGCTGGCAGAGCCCTGGAACACACAGGGATGAAACAACCCCCTGGGTCAGTGTTTCCCCTGCCACACTGGGTCTAGATTTGCCCTCTGGTGCAAGCACAGGACTTGTGTTGTCTTGGAGCACCAAGATAATTTGGTTTTATCTACATTTCCAACCTTTACACAGACTCAAGCAGATCTACCCCAGGCCCCTCATCCTCTGCTGTTGTCATGGGGAGAGTCACAAATCCCACCAGAGCCCAGAAATCCAGGAAAATCCACAATTAACACACACCCTCCTCCCAGCCACAGAAAGTTGCTGACCAGCACCAGTAAATCAGGCATCAAACCTGCCCCATTTGGGGCCAGAAGGAAAAAAAATCAGTGTCTGAAATCTCAGTGTTAAGCAGAGGGTCAAACTTGATGGGCATAATGGTCTCTCTGCAGCTCTAAAGTCTCTAAAAGTCTAAACCCCACTTTCCTCTCAGACTCGATTGCAGCAGGAACCATAAAGTCAAGTCAGGTTTCAATCAAATTTCCTGCATTTTCCTGTCCAATTAAGAACACTAATATCACCACAGATGTCATTAAATCAGATATTTTTGAGACAGCCTAATTTGTTTGGTGCGCGGCGCTCGTCGGGTTTTAATGTTCGGAGGGAAAAAATAAAAATAATAATAATAATAATAAAAAAATCGATGCTGTACAGGATTTCAAGCAGGAAAAAAAAAAACGAGATGAAAATGGGATTGGGGAGCTCAACCATTAGTTAGAAACCACTTCAAATGCATTTCTGAGCTAAATGTTACACGGGAGCAGCAGCAGCAAAGAGGCAAAGACTCTGGTTACAGGGGCTTCAATCATTTCCAGGGCTCGGGTTTCAGATTAACAAGGAAATGGAGGGGGGGAAACAGGGGTAATTTTATCAGAAGGGATGGAAAACGATGCAAATGATGGCAAAAAGCCCGAGCCAGGAGGCCCCAAAGTGAATTAAGGGGCAGAGGGAACAGCCACGCTCAGCACAGGTAGAGAAGAAAAGCAGGTGGGGTGGGTGAGATGGAGAGAGAAAAGTGGAAAGCCCTGAAAGTGGAAAGGATCTTTCCTTCTTCCCTTTTATTGGAGGGAAAAGAGATTTGATCCAATGTAAATATTGCCAGGATTTCCATATAAGAAAGTGGAAGAGGATTTGACTTATTAGGGAGCAAAAAAAAAAAAGAGAAATAAGAGAACTGTGTCAAGGCTGAGCAGAATCCAGAGGGGTCTGAGATGCTCCCGGTGCCTGGGGACGTTTCCATCCTCTCCTTCAGCCTGACCTGCAGAAATGGTTGGTTTTGGGGAGAAAACAGGCCTGTTTTAATAAACTTCTGCCCATATTAACGGCATTTATCACTTCAATTTTCGACCCGATTTGAAAGTTTTGGAGATTGAAACGAAAGAAAATGCGATCTCAGGGTAATTTTGCTTCATTAGGGCAAATGTACTGCCTGTAATTCCTCCCGATATTAAACTCATTACGCTGAATAATGTGTGATACCGAGATAAAAAGGAATTTAAGGATGTGACCTGATGGGCAGATAATTGAGCTAAGCCCATTAACGCCGGGGCCGGACCGCGGCCCCACCACATTGTCCTTAATTAGGCAAAGTGCTTCTCCTCCTCCTCCTCCTCGTTCTTCGGAGAGCTGGGATTTATTTGCTCAGCGGAGGAAACGATCTCGCTGAGCAGGGTTTCGTTCGCACTTTCCGTGCCCATTAAATACAGATTTATTCTGAAAGGGGGGAGAGAGAGAAAAAAAAAAAAAAGGCGAGTCCCTGTCGCTTCAGCGCCGGGAAATTGGGGGGTTAATTCGCTTTTTTTGAGCCTAAAAATGAGCTGCTCGGGTTGTTTTTTCTCCTCGGATGTTGGTGCTGGTTGGGGGGGGGGGGTTGGTTTGGGGAGTGTTGATGGGGATGTGAAGCCTCTCCTCGCCCCGCCCTGGGAGCACAGGAATTCCTGGGCATTCCCGGACATTCCCGGGGGTTCCAGCAGTCGGATTTAATCCCCACCCTGCTGACTGGATTTCTTTTTCAACTTTCTGGGAGGACGTTCCCAATTTATCCCTCAATCTCAGGATGGGATTTTCTTTTCCCCCTCCCTTATTTTAAAGAAGGAATTCTCAGTGTCAGTTATTGAGCCTGGCTCGGGATGAAGCTCTTCCCTCTCACAGACACGTGTCTCTCCCCAGCAGGCACCCTGAGCTTCCCTGGCACTGCATTCATATTTCTGGGATGTGTCCCAAAACAGGCAGGGATTTGGGAAGGTTGGTTGTATCATCTCATCCCACTAAATAAATCTAAATAAAGTCTAAATAAACCTGTGAATTATTGCACAAAATGTTTCTTGAGCTCTTCTGGAAGCTCAAGAAAAGGATGTTTTAATTGTGAAACGATATTTCACAGGTGACCCTTCCAGCTTTTGTGGGGCTGAGGGAGAGGAAACCTTGGGAACAGGAGGAACCTTCATCCATCCTCCTGCACTGGACTCAGTGGGACATTTCCCTGGGCAAGGAACAAGAGGGGGGAACCTTCCCAAATTTCCAGCTTCCAGGGTTTTGTGTCTCCACGTGGGAGACCTGCCAGCCCAGTTCCAGGAGCAGTTTTTGAGCCTGGCTCGGGATGAAGCTCTTCCCTCTCAGACACACACTCGTGTCTCTCCCCAGCAGTCGAGAGACTTCCCTGGGCAAGGAACAAGAGGGAGGGAACCTTCCCAAATTTCCAGCTTCCAAGTCTCAACCCCAGTTGCCCAATATTTAAATTTTGGAGCTGCTCATTGTGCTGCTGACTGGGGCTTCTCAAACCTCACCAAACAGCATTTCAGGGTTTATTTTTCCACCAGCTCTGCCCTCAGCCACCCCCAGCTTTGCTCAGAGCTCCTGGTGCCCAAACTCCACCAGGAAAAGCAGCTTTTCCAGCCCCACCTCCTGGAGGGTCAGGGATGACTCTAATGTCATTGGGTTTTGTGTCTCCATGTGAGAGGAGCCCTGTAAAGACCTGCCAGCCAAATTCCAAGAGCAGTTTTTGAGCCTGGCTCGGGATGAAGCTCTTCCCTCTCACAGACACGTGTCTCTCCCTGGCAGTCGAGCACTTTGCTCCTGTTCCATTATGAACCCAAAGAATGAAACCCAACCCACCCCACAGAGGGCTGCTGGGGCTGCTGGAGCTTCCTGAAGGCAGCAGAGGCTGATGATTTCCTGCACACCCACCACAAAAGCCACAGGAAGCTCCCCGAGGAGACAAACCCGGCCCCGAGAGCGAGACCTGCTCAGATCCTCTCCCATCAAACCCTCCAGTCCTCCTTCCAGTAAATCTCCCACCACAAATCATTGCATTAATGGCCCTGGGCAGCACAAGGACTGTTTGTATCCTCTTGCTCTCTCCCCCCTTTCCAAGCAATAAAAGCCGAGTCGGGAATCAGCAGCGCCCTGGAGGGTCTTGGCTCGAGGGTCTCACTTTCCCCTCCACAAGTAGCTGCAATTTATTTCAATCAGCAGCAGGACTGAGGCCCCACATCTTAACCTGAGCATCCAGGAGGGATTTCACATCACCACTCCTCATGCAAAGGCTGCTGCACCACTCCCACTGCTTTTTTTTTCCCCCCGAGGTGGTTTGGTTCTAAAAGCTTCATCCCAAATTGTACCCTCAGGCTGAGGAAGGGCTAAGAGGGGCCAAGGCTGAGTTCTGTGTCACAGCATCAGCCCCAGGACCCAAAGAGCTGCTCCTTTTTTGAGCAAATCAAAGCCAAACAACCCAGAAATCCACGGAACAACGGCCACAGCAGCACCTTATCCCACTTCTCCAGCCCCATTCCCAGCTCTGACAGCACAGGGAGGCAGAGACCACCTACTCCAGGAGGCAAGAACGACCCAGAGGTCCCAACTTTGCCAGCTGCCCTCCCACATTTATCAAGTTTGGTGCTATTTGGGTTTAATTCATTAAAACCAGACCCAGAGCTGCTCTTTGTGGAAACACAGAGTTGCCCCTTGGGAAGCTGAGTCCCCTCAGGACACTTGGAAAAAAAGAAAGAAAAAAAAAATCCCAAAATCTTCCTTGATGTCTGAATACTTCAGAATCCTGCTTATTTAACTTTTCCCATCCAGGATTCCTGCCAGTAGGAATTTTTCAGGGGAATCACAGCAGCAAAGAGGCAAATGAGCCCTTTTCCTTCTCCCACACCGCCCACTCTTCCATCAGATCAGCTCCAGCCCCCTTTTCCAAAGGTTTCCATCTTCTGCATTCAGCTTGTTTCAATTATTCAGGGCAACCCAGGCTGATAATTACCCAGTCCCGAGCTGCTGAGTAAAACTGATGCTTAATTAGCCAGCGGGAAAGATCGATTAAGATCCAGCGGGGGATCTTGCAAAGTTCTTCAGTGGGACTGCAGGGAATAAAAGCCTGGCTGTGCCCTTCCAAAGGATAAAAATTCTCCTCTTCTCAGGGCCTCGACAGCAGTTTTATTTGAACTGGATGCTCAGCTCAAGCAGCCACCCTGAGCTTTTATTGTCAGGCCTCAACACCGAGTGACACAACCCACAGCTCAGAACCAGAGCATCAACAGCGAGCTCTGCATCCCATTGCCAGCCAAAAATAGAACCCAGCTGAGGCTTCAAGTTTTATTTAAGCCTTGAGCAGCCCGATTTCTGGGTGGGTTTTTTTGTTGTTCCTCAATTTTCCCCTCAGAAAAAAAAAATGGGTTTGCTTCCTTCATTTCTCCAAATGATGCATCTCGTGTTCTTACTGTTCTTGGAACAGTCCTGAGGACACGAGGCTTTAAAATCCAGGTCTGACCTGGGTTCTAAGTCAATAAATCCCTTTCATTTCCTTTTTTTTGCTGCATCAAAGCCCAGACAACACGTTTTGGAGCTGGGGAGCCCCCTGTGAAACGGATACTTTGAGCAGCAGGTCCCCAGCACGAATCTCTGCTCGCAGTTATTGATTTACCCACAGACTTAAAGTGATGGATTTTCTCCACAAAACCCTCTCTGGAACAAGGGAGGAGGAGGAACAGGAGAGGATCAGAGACCCCACATGAAAAGAGCTGCACAATTCACAGCCCAAGGCGGGATTTTTTACTTTGAAACGCACAAATTCCCAACAAAAAACGACAATTTTGCAGACAAACATAAATTGGGAGCGTAAAAACCAGTGGTCTTATTATACCAAGCCCAGAATGTCCATGAATTTTCAAACTCTACCAGCACAAAGTATCCCAGGATGTGCCACCATTCTGAAGCACTTTAATGATTAGAGAGGAATTCAGAGAACACCCACCTGGCTTTGACTCTCTGGAAGGCCACAAGAATTGCATCCCTCTGCTCCCTGGCTTCAGCACTCAAGTGTTCATTCTGCAGCCCTTCTGCCAGGTAATCCTCAGCATCTGGGGAGGAAGGAATTACAGGTTAAAACTCAGAAATTCCTGTTCTTGGCTAAGAAACCCTCGAGGCACCACCCCAGTCTGAGCTAAAGACACAGGTCAGTCTGAAGACTTGATTTGGAGAAGTGAAGCCCTGGAAGTGATTAAAGAGGATCTAAATGTTGCACGTGGTGACAGAGCTTCCCTCTAATTGCAACAGTATATAAGGCAAAGAAACAAGTGAAAAGAAACTTTTCACTTTGGCAAACTTTTCACTTTGGAAACTTTTCACTGCCGGCAAAAGCAGAAGAGAGGATGAGGAAGGTGAAGTGAAAACGTGACCAGACCAGGTTCAATTCCACCTGCCTCTGAGCTGCCCCAAACCCTAAATATCTGCTCCTGTGAAAGGCTGTTGGCATTAAAGACACAGGAGTGGCATTAAAGGCACAGGAGTGGCATTAAAGGCACAGGGGTGGCATTAAAGGCACAGGGGTGGCATTAAAGGCACAGGGGTGGCATTAAAGGCACAGGGGTGGTTCTCCCGTTCAGGGAGGATCCAAAGCATTCCTAAAACCAGTGCAAGGTATCCACTAACACCCCAAAATCCCCCTGATCTGGGATTTTCCCCCCGAAAACCAGGCTGGTCGTGCACTTGTGTCACAAGGTGGGTTCTCCCACCCCCTGTGCCCGCCCAGACAAAAGCAAACACAACCTTCTCCCACCTGGAAAAACCACATCTGTGTGCAGAAATCCACCCTGAACTGCCAGACAAAAAGGATTAAGCGCCTTCTATTTGCATAAATATTTATGTTCTTTACGGGAAACCGAAAGAAAAACCAACAAACTGGTGGAGAACAAAACAGTTCCTTCCACTCAGCTCCGTGCAGAGCCCCAACCTCCTGCTTCACTTCTCCTTCAGCAGAGGAAAGATTGGCTTCCAAGCTCTGCTGTTGTACATCCACAGGCCCCTCCAACCTTTAGCTCCCACCCCACGCTGTGCCACTAATGTCAGTTTAATGTCCTGCTTGCAGGACTTCCAGCTCCTCCTGCTCCGGTGCCAGCCCGATGCCAGGAGTGTTTGGCACAGCCCAGGCACCTGCAGGGTTCCTCAAAACCAGCCCCTCCACCTGCAGGCACGCCTCAAGATCAAAATGAGAGAGAGAAATGGGAGAAATTGAGTTTTTTCTGTTAAAAACGTGATCCCTGTTCGTGGTGGACTCAAAGGTTTGGAGTAGAGGAGAAAAAAAAAAAAGGTTTTTAAAGTGAAGGTGACAAGGAAGGACGTGGAGGAGGAGCAAGGCTGGTGCTTGGGCATCCCCCAGGAACAGGGCCCTCTTCCTTGGCTTCAGAGGGGCAGGATCAGGGAGACTCAGCTCTGCCTGGGAAGGGGGAGTGACTCCAGAGTGTAACACTCCTCTCCACAACAGCCCAGTTCTCCTTTGGGGTTTTTTCAGCTGACAGCACCAGTTGCCATGGGAGCACCTGCTAATTACCACATTCCTGCCAAAAGCAGGTTCCTCCCCAGCTCCTGCCTCTGTGTCCCTGCCTTTCCTCCTGCCAGGAGGGCTCCTGACCCCCGGGAACCAGGTCTGAGCCCATCAGCCCCAGCCACCCCTTCCCCAGGTGAGAAACAGGGCTTGGAGCCTGAACAGGAGATCAAAATAACCCAGCACAGCCCCTCCAGGGTGGGGATGAGGCTGTTCCCAAGGGCCTGGGGGGACAGGACAAGGGGGGATGGCTTCAAACTGACATAGAGGAGGTTTAGATTGGATATTAGGAAGAAATTCCTTCCTGGGATGGTGGTGGAACAGGTTGCCCAGAGAAGCTGTGGCTGCCCCATCCCTGGAAGTGTCCAAGGCCAGGTTGGACAGGGCTTGGAGCAACCTGGGATACTGGAACCACCCCCAGGGCAGGGGGTGGGACTGGACGAGCTTTGAGGTCCCTTCCAACCCAAACCATTCCACGATTCCCTGATCCACAACCCCAGCAGATGGACAGCAACCCTGGAGCACAGCATCACTCCCAAACCCACCCCTGCATCCAGCAGCAGCCTGGGAGCTCCAGGAGCACAAAGATTCCAGGCAAAAACACCCATTAATACAAATTCACTGCTGGTAATTTAACCCCAGGCTTTGCCAATCCCAGGCCAACCTTCTAATCCTGAGGCTCAAATTCATTTTTGGTCCCTCCCTCTGCCCTTTTAATTGCACACCCAAGGTACTGTACCAGGACCTCCCTCTGCACTTTTAATTGCAGGTACTGTGCCAGCTTAGGACAGGTCTAAAGATGCTGGGATTAAATCACAAATGCCACAGAAAGCACCCCAAGCACATCTACCTAAGCCCAAAGAGCAGATCTTGCTCTGAGGAGCCTCCAAAGAACACATGAGGCCGAGGGGACAATTTATTCTGTACAAGCATAAAAAAACAAGGCAGTGGAAACGGCCCAGCAAGAGAAGCTACAACCAGAAAAAAATACAGTGAGAAGAACAGGCAAGGCAAACAAACTGCTCCCAGAACTGCTGCAAATCCCAGTTACACCCCCTGTGTCATTTTTAAGCTCAGATTAACTCCATGAGCACACGATTAGCCCCTAATACAGCATTTACTTACTGGGATGTCAGCCCAGATCAGCTGCTGGATAAGTTATAGGAGGAGCTGGGTCACTCCTGCAAAGCAGAGCCCCCTTTTCCCAGCCAGCCCCGATGTTTATAGCAGCAGGAAATGAAAAAGAAAAGCCCTGGCCATAAACTCTCCAAGTGGATCAGGAAGAGCAATGTGTAAGCAGCTCGAGAGTAAATCACCCTAATGTTGGTTTTACTGCTTGTCAGTAACGTTATAGCCTTGATGTTTATGGATTGGCTCTCTGAGATCCACTCTGAAAGTTTACAGGACTCTCCTCCTCGTTTCCTGAGGCTAAAAAGGTAAGAGAGAGAGAGGAGAGAGGGAAAAAAAAAATAGTGGAGATTTCATCAAGTGTTTCAGGGGAGCTTCTGGAGGTGATTGCAGTTCTCCACTTTAATCCTGCAGGAGATGCCCCAGCATCCGAAGAATTATGTCACAACCACTGAAGTCCAGGGAGTAAATAACCTTTTAATGGCAGCACTAAATTCTGGGAGTTAATCAGCGCTCAATGAGCAGAGCTGAGAGGGATTAGGATGCCCTGGGTATTCTCTCCACGTGTTCAGGTGGGTTTTTTCACTCTTTTCTGCTCCTCTGCCATCAGAAATCCCACAGCCCTGGTGCAGTGGGACCAGTCCCACAGGATCAGAGAATGCTGAGCCAACCAGCCCCTTCCAACACTTCACACAATCCCCCTCCTGCAGTTTATCACCTCAGCTGGGTGGGAAAAATGAGTTTAAAAAAGGGGTTTAGGACACCCATCAACACTGAGAGCACAGGTACCCTGAGCTTCCCTGGCACTGCATTCACATTTCTGGGACTGCACTCATATTTCTGGGACATGTCCCAAAACAGGCAGGGATTTGGGAAGGTTGGTTGTATCATCTCATCCCACTAAATAAATCTAAATAAAGTCTAAATAAATCTGTGAATTATTGCACAAAATGTTTCTTGAGCTCTTCTGGAAGCTCAAAAAAGGATGTTTTCATTGTGAAACGATATTTCACAGGTGACCCTTCCAGCTTTTGTGGGGCTGAGGGAGAGGAAACCTTGGGAACAGGAGGAACCTTCATCCATCCTCCTGCACTGGACTCAGTGGGACACTTCCCTGGGCAAGGAACAAGAGGGAGGGAACCCTCCCAAATTTTCAGCTGCCAAGTCTCAACTCCAGTTCCCTAATATTTAAATTTTGGGGCTCACCAGCCCTCACCAAACAGCATTTCAGGGCTTATTTTTCCACCAGCTCTGCCCTCAGCCACCCCCAGCTTTGCTTGGAGCTCCTGGAGCCCAAACTCCACCAGGAAAAGCAGCTTTTCCAGCCCCAAGAAGGCAGGTGAAGGGCAGGAAATCTGATTGACTTTGCTCCTCCAAACAGAACCAGCAGCACTGTGTTTGTCAGAGATATATCACATTTTTAGAGCTGCCTTGTCAGCCTTCAGGAGGAATCTGTGCCGGCAAATATGAAACAATCTTTAAAAAAAAATAATAAAAAAAAAAAGGCAGTTTGAAGAGAGACCTGACTGAGCCAAAAGTGAAACTACAGAAGCGGCAGCTAACAGCCAATGAAGTATAAATGACATTTAAATTGCTTGTTAGGAGGTGGGCCTTAAAGTAATAATTGCTGCAACCAGATCTGCTCATCAGCAGACAATAGGAAGCGTTTAGAAGTGTTGTAAAACTGCACATTGTGCTGGCTCCAACCACTGCAACCTCAGAGATCCCTTATCTGATGGACACAGAACCCTGAGGAGGAGGCTTTTGAGTACCTGCAGCACAAAAACTGTCTTGCACTATGGAGCAAACTGTAAAATAAGGCAGCAGGTGTTACTGCCTCCTGCCTTGGTAATTTCTATTTGAAATACAAGAGCTGTGATGGTAATGCAGTCTGGATACATATATATATATATACATACACATCCAATCTGTATGTGTATATATATATATATATATATATATATAAAATCTGTATATATATAAATATATATAACCTGTATATATAAAAAATATATATAATCTCTCTATATAAATATAAATATATAAATACCAAATATATAAATATAAATATATAAATATAAAAATAATCTGTATATATAAATATATACATATATAAAAATATATAAAAATACATAAATATATATAATCTGTATATATAAAAAGATGATATATATAATCTGTATATATATATATATATATAAAATCTGTGTGTATATAAAAATATATATATTTTAAATATATCTATATATCTATATCAGAGAATCATTTCAGTTGGAAAGGACCTTAAAGCCCATCCAGTCTCACCCCCTGCCATGGGCAGGGACACCTTCCACCATCCCAGGTTGCTCCAAGCCCCGTCCAACCTGGCCTTGGACACTTCCAGGGGTCCAGGGGCAGCCACAGCTTCTCTGGGCAACCTGTGCCAGGGCCTCCCCACCCTCCCAGGGAAGGATTTCTTCCCCAAATCCAATCTGCTCTGGCAGTTTGAAGCCATTCCCCCATCTCCTGTCACTCCAAACTCCTGTAAATGGTCTCTCTCCCTGCTCCTTGTTGGCTCCCCTCATGTACCAGAAGGTCACAATTAGGTCACCCCAAAACCTTCTCTTCTCCAGGCTGAGAATATATAATATATATATAATTATATATTTTATATCTATATATATAAAATTTTAAAATAATAAATAAATATATATAAAAATATATATAAAATCCATCATTCCCAGCCTGCAGAGGTAGAAGCCTCCTCAGCCACTGGAAGGCCTCAAGACCATCCAGACTGTTAAGACACAGCAAGTTTGATCCAGAGGTATGTGACATGCAATTAATCTCCATTCATAGCCTGCTCCACCTGTCAGCAAACAAAGGCTGAGCTTTAGGAGGAGATCTGAAGCCTTCAATTAAAAGCAGTCAGCTAACAAGAAAATAATCTGAGTTAAAGGAAGGTGGCAGGTGCAGAAATGAGTTGTTTACAGAAGTGTCAGCCCCGAACAATAAAAGGGCTGCACGTCAAAAAATGTGAAAGGGTGAACTTCAGCAGAGCCCCCGGGATGGAAAACCAGAGGAGAAAACCTCCAGCTACATCTGGGGGAAGACATAAAGGGTTTGAGAGCAAGATCTGATCAAAAACCAGAGGAGAAAACCTCCAACTACATCTGGGGGAAGACACAAAGGGTTTGGGAACGAGCTCTGATGGGTTTGGGGGCTCCACAGGGAGGGAAAGACGCCAGGGCTGGAAGTTATCAGAGAATCACAGAATCACAGGATCAGCTGGGTTGGAAGGGACCTCCAAGATCATCAAGTCCAACCCTGGATCCAACCCCGCCGTGGTTCCCAGCCCATGGCACTGATGCCACATCCAGTCTCACCTTAAAAACCTCCAGGGATGGAGAATCCACCCCTTCCCTGGGCAGCCCATTCCAATGGCTGAGCACCCTCTCTGGAAAGAAATTCTTCCCAATATCCAACCTAAACCTCCCCTGGCACAGCTGAAGACCCTGAGCCCTCTTGTCTTGCTGAGAGTTGCCTGGGAAAAGAGACCAACCCCCCCTGGCTCCCCCCTCCTGTCAGGGAGTTGCAGAGAGTGAGGAGGTCTCCCCTGAGCCTCCTCTTCTCCAGGCTGAGCCCCCCCAGCTCCCTCAGCCTCTCCTCACAGCACTTGTGCTCCAGTCCCTTCCCCAGCCTCGTTGCTCTCCTCTGGACCTGCTCCAGGACCTCAATGTCCTTCCTGAGCTGAGGGCCCAGAACTGGACACAGCACTCCAGGGGTGGCCTCACCAGCGCTGAGTCCAGGGCAAGAATCACTTCCTTGGACCTGTTGGCCACACTGTTCCTGCTCCAGGCCAGGATCCATTTGCCTTCTTGGCCACCTGGGCACACTCTGGCTCCTGTTCAGCTTCCTGCCCCTTGGGATGAGTGCCTGGCACTGCCAGGAGCTGCTGCAGCAGGGAATGGGAGTTCAAAGGCCCAAACCCAACTGCCCTGAGCAGTGAGCACCAAAACCTCCTCAGCCCCTTCCTTCCCACCACCTGCTCCTGCAGCAGCACCACGAGGTGGTTTGGTGAGGGGCTCACACCCCTGTTCCAGCCTGATGTTGTTGCTGACCTTATATTTATTTTTGGGCAGGTAGGACGTGGTCACCTCTCCCAGCACACCACAGAACCAGCACGAGCTGCAAAGGTCCTCACAGAATTTGGGTTTGTGCAGCGTGTTTGAACAGCTGAGCGTGGGCTGTGCTCAGCTCACCCACCACTCCAACGAGTGGAGGTGTTGCAGCTTCAGTTTGTGGAGAAATCCATGGAAAAAACAGCTCCAGGAGCCCCACAGCTGCCCCCTCACACTCACGGAATGGTTGGGGTTTGAAGGGACCTCTGGAGAACATCCAGTCCAACCCCCCTCTCCAGGCAGGGTCCCCTAAAGCAGGTGACACAGGAACACATCCAGGGGGCTCTGGAACGTCTCCAGGAGGAGGCACACGCCAGGAAATGCTGTCAGAACGAGCACGAGCTCATCCCCTCAGGAGCCAAACCCTCAGCTCACCTCCAAAATCTTCAGGGAGCGAGGCCAGCCCTGCTCCCCAATTTTCCAGGGGGCTGAAGCTTTCCAGAACACACAAGCTGCACATTCCCAGAGGGACTCAACACCGGCACATCTCAAACCGGGAGCCAGCACTGTCGCAGCCCCAGGGGAAGCCCCGCAGAGGGGGCTCAGCGCAGCCCACGAGCTGCTCCCACCCTTTGTCTCGCCCTAAAGATGCTCGGAGAGGTGGAGCCTCCTCACCTCTCCAGGAAGCTCTCACTGAGGGCATATTTTGGCCACGCTAGAAGAAACCTCTAAATCTTCCACACGCTCGGACGCTGGGACCACCAGAAAACTCTCCCCCGCCCCTAAACATCCACATGGACCCACGGGGCAGCTCCTGAAAAACAGGAGCACAGCCCCAAACCCCCCAGGGCAGGGCAGCCACGTGTCCTGAACGCTTGTTAGGGGCAGAGAGAGCGAGGCCACGCACGACCTGAGGACCCCAAACCATCAGCCTTGCAGAAGAAACCCCCCCCAGCCCTTCCACTGCTCCCCCCGACCCAGCACAGCGAGGTGAAAAAAAAGCTTTTGGGCTCCTTCCCCCGCGGCCCCGGCGGGTTTCCCCCTCTGAGCAGATGAGGGGCGAGGAGGGGTTTGCTGTTACCTTCCAGGAGCCTCTGGATCTCCTCTGGGATCATGACACCTCCCAGCTTCCTTCCCACGGGAGCCAAAAGTGCCGCGACCGCTCCTGTCCCGGGGGGAGGGAAGGGACAGAGCGACAAAGGAAGCACAGAGGGCGGGGACACCCCAAAAACGAGTAAGAGGAACCGCTGGGCTCTGCTCAGCTCCCACCTCCTCCTCTTATACCCTCTGCAGGACCTCCGGGTCGCTCAGGTGGTGTCCGGGATGCTCCCGAAAATCCGGAGCTCCACCCAAGGAGCTGCCGAGGGGGATCCGATCCCCGCCCAGCACCGGCACAGCTGAACCTGCCCCCGCCTCGGCCTTTCCATGGGGTGGCATCTCCTCCCTCCAGGAGCTCAACTCAGAGCACCTGGCCCTGGCTCGACCCTCCCGAGCCTGTTCCTGCCGCCGGGGGTTGGATTCGTTCCAGGCTCCCTCCTCTGATGCAGGGGGGGAAGAAACGTGGTGCTGCAATAAAACTTCCCCTCTTCCTGCCTCCTGCGCGGGAAGGGGGCTGGACTGGGAGGGCTGCTCGGGTTTCTGGCCCGGAGAAGGAGCAGGGCCGTGCACTGGGACGTGTTTTATGGCAGCAATAAATGCAAACTGAGCTCTGCAAACCAGCGATGCCACCGCAGCAGGTTAACCCCCAGCCCTGCCCCTGCTCCCCTCCCACAGCAGTGAATCAGCACAAGGGGTACCACTGCTGTTTTTTTATTTTTCATTCTCGCATTCCCAAATTTCAGGCTCAATGTTGCCAAATCCAAAGGCTGGCTGAAGCTCAGCAGTGATTTCCTGCCCCAGTTAAACATTTCCCAGAGGTGAAGTGCTCAGGGTTCCGTCCTTCCTTTGCAATATCCTGCTATCAAACAAATATTTATTATTATTTATTTATTATTATTATTATTTATTATTATTGCTCTCCTCCTGCCACAGTAACCATCACGAGCTGGGAAAGCAAAATCCAGAGGGTAAAGGAAAATAAAAGTGTGCATTGGGATCTGCCCCCTTGGCTTCAGTGGGATAATGCCATGCTGGGAGGAGGAGCACAATTCCAAACAGTTGGAGGATGGGATTCTTGCAGCTCTCTGGATGCAGCAGGGCTGGGATAAAGGAAACACAGGAGAGATTCCAGATTTGCCCAGAGCTTCTTGCTCGGTTCAGCCACAGCAATCTGGTGGTTCAGGCTCATCTGGGAGAGAAGAGCTGTGCTGGCAAAGCCTCAGGTGTGGAGGAGATGGGAGTGCACGAGAGGAGGATGGAGCTGGACTTGGATCATCCTTGTGGGTCCCTTCCAGCTCAGGATGTTCCAGGATTTTAGGAGAGAGATGCTCCTCCATGTGCTGTCAGGTGCTGACATGCTTTGTGACCCACTTTCTGAGACAAGTGGGTGAAACAAGAAGACTGTTATGCTTTTAGTCAAGGAAAAGACTGTTCTGCTTTTAGTTCTCAGTACAAATCAGATTAAAACCAGGTCCAAGCTGAACCCAGGGCTCTGTGGGTTTGGCTTTGGGGCCGTGCCAGCAGCTCTGGTGTTCTGGAGCAGAAGCAGAAACCCCCGGAGCAGCTGCCAAGTTCTTTGGGGACTGTTTTTGGTTGAAATGTGCCTTTTTATGCACGGGCACAGCACCTCCCTGACTCCCATATAAATAACCCTTGTCAAGAGGGATGATTTTAATGGAGCAGGGAAGGCACCGTGACCGTGAGCAGCTGATTTACCGGAAGGCTCTGCTCTGGTTTCTGGGTGTTCTCGTGTCTCCAGTCCCTCTGTGAGAACACTGGAGTGGCAGCTGCCACTTGGGGTTCACTCAGGGAGAAGAGGAGGCTCTGTGTTTCTTCTCAGTTGCTCTCCAGAGCTGGGAGAAGAAGCCCAGCACTCCTGATCTGAAGCTCATCAGAGATTTCCTGCCCCAGAGGTGAAGTGCACAGGGTTCCAGCCTTCCTTTGCAATATCCTGCTATCAAGACAAATATTTATTATTATTATTATTGCTCTCCTCCTGCCACAGTGACGATCACAAGCCGGGAAAACAAAATCCAGAGGGTAAAGGGAAATAAAAGTGTGCACTGGGATCTGCAGATCTGACGTCACCCATCCAAACTTCCAC